AAATAAGGGATATATTTATCACATTTCTTCCCAGGGTTCCAAGCTATCTAACCACAGTAGTCCAACTCAAACAGCAATAACAATTATTTCCAGACAGAAATACTATTTCCCCAGTTTCCTTGAAAAGTCCATGAAATATACAATGAGCTACTATAGAATTCTACAATAGAAATTTAACTTTAATGACACTGAATATAGCTTATATACTATTCTGCAATTCCAGCTTTTCCTCCCAAACTGGAGAATTTGTTTTCACAATATCAATAAAGGTTTCTATATATAACACCAAGTTTGTTTTGCTTGTGTTTTAAAAGTTAAGTACCCCCCAAAAAAACATTAAAAGTAATTTTAGATTATTTTACTTTCTAGTCTCATGGAATAGAAAATAATCTTTTGATTCTCCCTAACAATAAAAAAAGCTAACAATATTAGCAAGTTAACATTTTGAAATTATATGTGTCAGGCACTGGGCTATATTCCTTATTTGTATTTTCTGGTTTTAAAATCTTCCCAAAGACCCTCTGAATTTACTTAAGTACTATTAGTATGCACAATGTTTTTATAAAGACACCACTAAAATGTAAAAAATTAATTGTCCAATATAAAATGAGGACCAATATCTAAAACCATGTCTAAATTCACAAAATATTTTAAGGAACTAAGGCCTAAAAATTATATTAAGAGTCAGAAATCGTTTAACTCTAATTACTTATAAAAGAACTCTGTGAAATAAATTTTTTACTGCAATCTAGAGATTAGTAAACCTATAATATTTTAAATACTTTGAAGACAGTTCCTTATAGATGGCTAACTGGATACAAAACAGTAAAGAACCAAAACCAAATAGAAATACCTTGAACACTAGCTATAATTTTAAAGTATTATATCTTTCTATTTCTTAAAAATATAGGTTAAGGGCTGGGGATATAGTTACTAATGGTGGAGTATTCGCCTAGCATGTGCAAGACCCTACGTTTGACCCCCAGTACTGCTAAATAAATAAATAAATAAATACAGGTTAGTTCAAGGCACACAAAACTCTAATGCCTATTACAGTGTTCAACTAATCAGTGACCACTTCAACTAATCAGTATGAAGTAATGTGATATATAGATTAAAAATATGTATATTCAGACCCAAACCAGGAAAAAACTTACCTGTTGAAAGCTATCTCTTAGAAGCTGCTGGTCTTCAGGATGACAGAATTCTACAATATTCTTTCCTAAGAGTTCCTGGAAGGGAGAAAGAAGAGTAAGATACACATTTTATGGTCATCTAACTTTCCTGGTGAATCAGCTGAGGACTTGAACTTTGGACTTCTGTAATTATCCCAAGATGATATGTAAGTACGAAGGAGGTAAAAGTAAAGATTCCTTTGAGAAAAGACCATGGGTGCACCCTGATTACAGCAGGGGCCTGGGAAGTGGTTTCACCATGCTGAGCCACCAGGCACTCAGAGGCTACTGCAGCAGAGTTCCAGAAGGCTTGGCAACTGCTTGAGATGGCTGCAGACCTTGGCATCAACCAAGCGGTGCTGGTTCTGCAAGATGCTAAAATTAGGGGGTCAGGGAGGCTTCCACTAAGATTTCAAAGGAAGGCCTGCGAAGTCAGGAAAGTGTAGAAGGGCTGCAGCCAGCCCCTGAGAAGTTGATGTGTGAAGATGTTAAAAAAATAAATAAATAAAGGAAATGGAAGCTGCAGTGGAAAAGTCTGAGATTAAGAGATGCCAGTGCTACGGGATATCTGTTGAGGAAAACTGCAGAAATTGAGGAGAAACAAACCAAGAGAAAGGCCATGTAGGCTACAACCACCAAAGTCATAGGGAAAGAACTACACAAGCCCTTTGAAGAGAACATCATGATACCATGTGCCCCAGATGCTGGACCTGGAACTTATAGAACTTGCCCATCTGGATTTTGATCTTATTTAGGTTCCATCCTTTCTTTCTATGCCCCTATGTTTTGGTTTGTTTTTGTAGAAAGGATTGAACTCGACCACTGAGCCACACACATCCCCAGCCCTATTTTGTATTTTATTTAGAGATTGGGTCTCACTGAGTTGCTTAGTGCCTTACTTTTCCTGAGGCTGGCTTTGAACTTTGGATCCTCCTGCCTCAGCCTCCCAAGCCACTGGGATAACAGCCATGTGTCACCATGCCCAGCTCTAGGCCCCTATTTTCTTCCATGTGGAATGAAAATGTTTACTCTGTAGCATTATATATTAGATACATGTAACTTGCTTTTGATTTTTACAGGGGCTCATGCTGAGAGTTTGCCTTGAGTCTCAGGACTCTGAACCTGGACTTTTGGGTAGTGCTAAAATGTTAAGACTATGGGGACCCTTAAAAATGGACTAAATGAAGGCTGGGGTTGTGGCTCAGTGTAGAGAGCTTGCCTTGCATGCATGAGGCCATAGGTTTGATCCTCAGCACCACATAAAAAAATAAATAAATAAAAATAAAGATATTGTGACCATCTACAATTAAAAAAATATTTTTTAAATAAATGGACTGGACTAGGGCTGGAGATGTGGCTCAAGCGGTAGTGTGCTCGCCTGGCATGCGTGCGGCCCGGGTTCGATCCTCAGCACCACATACAAACAAAGATGTTGTGTCCGCTGAAAACTAACAAATAAATATTAAAAAAATCTCTCTCTAATAAAAATAATAAAAATAAAAATAAAAAATGGACTAAATGAGCCAAGGGTATTGGTGCATGCCTGTAATGCCAGCAGCTTGTGAGGCTGAGGCAGGAGAATCACGAGTTCAAAGTCAGCCTCTGCAAAAGAGAGGTGCTAGGCCACTCAATGAGACCCTATCTCTAAATAAATACAGAATAGGGCTGGGGATATGGCTCAGCTGTTAAGTACCCCTGAGTTTAATCCCAAGTACCTCCCCCAACCCCCACCCCCAAAAGAAAAAAGAAAAGAAAATGGACTAAATGTATTTTTCATTGTGGGATGAGCTTCAGAGGTGAAATGATTAACCCACTGACATGGATTAACTGAGTGGTAAATGTAGGAAGGTAGGGTATGGATGGAAGAGGTAGGTGACTAGGGGAGTGCTTTGGGGTTTATATTTTGTCCTGGTGAGCGAAGGTCTCTCTCTAATTGGCGTTGCCATTTGTTGAGCTGCTGCTTTCCTTTAGCATGCTCTTCTGCCATGATATTCTGAGTCATCTTAGGCCTAGAGCAATAAAATCTAATGACCATGAACCAAACCTCTGAAATTGGGAGTCCAAATAACTTTGACTCTTCTAAAACACACACACATGAATAAAATGAAATGAATAAAACATGTAATCGGTTCCTTATAGGAAGCATAATAAATAGGGAACAAAATGACAGGGGAACTAAGGAGGAAGTAGACTCTCCAAGGGAAAACCCTCAGGTTAGAATGAAATACAAATAAGACGTAAATTCACAGTGATCTGTGAATTGTAGTGAGGCATATCACCAATGGTTTTAGAGATAAATATTTCTGTACAAATATGGAAATTACTGTTTTAACATAGCATATTATTGAAATTTTATTAAAACCTTTTATTTAAAAAAATAAGTATGAAGGAAAAAATTAAAAAGATGGATCTGCTAAGCAGCTGGCTTCTAGCACATTTCTCCTTTGTTACAGATTGTACGTACAGTTCACATTTATAATTTACCCATTCTAAATGTATGATTTGATAATTCCTAATAAATTTATATAGTAGTACAATCATTACCACAATCCAGTTTCAGAACATGTTCATTGCATCAAAGGTTCTCTTTATCCAACCATTGACCTGCTTTCCAACTCTTTAGTTTTGCCTTTTCTAGAAATTTCATATAAATAGAATTATATAATATGCAGTTTGGGGTTTGGCTATTTTCTTTTTTTTTTTAATTTTTTTTTAATATTTATTTTTTAGTTTTCGGCGGACACAACATCTTTTTTTGTATGTGGTGCTGAGGATCGAACCTGGGCCGCACACATGCCAGGCGAGCGCGCTACCACTTGAGGGGTTTGGCTATTTTCACTGAGCATATTTTTAAAGTTCATCAACACTGTTGCATATATTAGTACTTTATTCCTTTTTATCATTCAGTGGTATTCTAACACAGATATACTATAGTTTGTATATTAACTCATAAAATACTAATGTACATTAAGATTGTTCCTATTTTGGGGCTATTATTAATACAGCTTTGAATATTTATGCACACATCTTTGTGTGAACATTTGTTTTCATTTCTCCTGGGTAGACATCCAAGAGTAGAACTGCCAAATTATAGGATATAATTGAGGTAAAATGATACCATTCTTTGCAGATACATTTCTAATCTCCTCATAGGTATTGTAGAGATATGCAGTTTTTTAGGAAACTATCAAAATGTTTTTGCAAAGTAGCTACATCATTTATACGTCTATCAACAATGTATGAGAGTTTTAGCTTTTCTACATTCTCATCAACACTTTTTGATTATAGCCATTCTGGTGTATATGATAGTATCTCATTGGGATTTTAATTTGCACTTTACTAATGACTAATGATTTTTTAATTTGTTCTTTTTAGATATACATGACAGTAGAGTGTTTTTTGACATACCATAGATACACGGAATATAACTTATTCTAAATGGAATCCCATTCTTGAGGTTGTACATGATGTGGAGTTCCACTGGTCATATATTCATGTACGAACATAGGAAAGTCATGTTTGGTTCATTCTACTGTCTTTCCGAAATATTTCCATCCCTTCTCCCCTCTCTTCATTCCCTTTTCTAATGACTAATGATTCTGAGCATATTTTCATATGCCATACATATTTCTTCTTTACTGAAATATCAAATCTTGTGTCCCTTTTATTAATTGCTTATCCTAAAGACTTATTTATATATTCTAAATACAAATTGTTTTTCAGCCATATGATTTGCAAATATTTTCTCCCAGTCTGTGCCTGATCTTTTCACCTTCTTCATGACTTCCTTTTTTGGTACCAGGGATTGAACCCAGGGGCGCTTAATCACTGGGCCACATCTCCAGCCGTTTATTGTATTTTATTTAGAAATAGGGTCTTGCTGAGTTGCTAAGTGCCTCATAAGATGCTGAAGCTGGCTTTGAAATCACAATCCTCCTGCCTCAGCCTTCAGAGTGGATGGGATTACAGGCATGCGCCACCGTGCCCCACCATGACTTCCTATTAAGAGAGTGAATTTTAATTTTGATAGAATTCAATTTATCAGTATAGTTCTTTGTAAAATCATGCTTTTAGTAGTATATGAAAAAAAATCTTTGCTTAACCCAGGGATACAAATACTTTCTCCTGGAAGTTTATTCATAACTTTAGCTCCGGTACATTTAGGTCTTTGAGTTGATATTTGTGGGTAGTGTGAAGTAAAGTCTAAGGTGTTTTTTTTTTTTTGGTATATCATTCGGATATCCCATTATTCTATCACTTTTTGTCAGAGAGATCTCTTTCCCCCACTGAATTATCTTGGCACATTTGCTGAAAATGGTTAAATATAAAAGTAAACTCTATTCTGGCCTATGTATCTACTGATCTATGTGTCTATCCTTACACTAATACTACATTGTCTTGATAACTCTAAGTTCTGAATCAGGTAGTGAAAACCTCCAACATTGTTCTTTGTTTTCAATATTTCTTCTTTATTAACCATTTCACATAGTCACAGCCAAAAAAACCTCCCTGATTTCAACAGCTTTGAAAATGTATATAAGTCAATTCAGGGATAGTTCACTGGTTTGTTGAATGAGTAAATTGTAATAACTGGTGCTAAATTTGTGTATTTTATGGGTTATTATTCCTTTGGATAATTACATAAATTATTTAAAGATAGATATACAGTATAGCTAATTAAAATGAGTACTTATGAATTATTATCTGTTTGATATCAGTAACAAAAGACAAATAATATTTGTACCTGCTGCTCCCTCCCAGTTTCACAAATCATATTTCTCTAGATGTAGACAGCTTTGTTAAGAAGCTGAAGATAAATTTAGCTACTGATAGAACAGGATCATCTCTTTTTCTGAACTAGAGTTGTTTTGACTATCTTTAGAATAAGATAACTATATAACCTCAACAATGGCAAGGGAAACACAGGCCTAAGTATCAGTGACATGACAGTTGCAGCTCCTCACCTGTGGCTGGTAGCCAACAGTAGCCACACAACGGTGATCCACAAAAGTGAATATCCCCTCAATGTTGTGTCGGGAGATGAACTCTGTTGGTTGGCAAACGTTACTCATGTCTGTACAGTTGGGAGAACTAGTTACCTATGAGTGGAAAGATAAAATTGAGTAAAATGATAACATTCTTTGCAGACACATTTCTAATCTCCTCATGGGAATTGTGTAGATATGAGACTCACAGTTTTACAAACTTCCAAATTTTTACCTTGCATCCAGAAAGCAAAATAGCAGAGGGGCCACAGAATCTAGCTCTATTCCAATACATATACTCTACCAAGTTAGTAAAGTAAGGAAAAAATGAAAAACCCACTTCCTTTCAGCTGACTAGGCTGTGCTCATTATTCAGATAGGAAAATTATGGTCTAACAAACATATTCTATACTTTTAAAAAGAATCAAAACAATTACATTTCTCTATTGTTAGTCATGTAATGATAACATGAAAAGGATGCTTCCTTTTTTGTTCAGGGCCAAAGGAAATTAATTGGAAATAGAAAATTCAGCATCATAAAAGCTTAAGTCAAAAAGATAAAGGGAGTAGGGTTGCTGGCAAGTGCCTGTAGTCTCTGTATTTAGCAGGCTTATGAAGGAATAACACTCAAGCCCGGGAATTCAAGATCAACCTAGACAACAGAGTAAGATCCCATCTCACCACCAACAAAAAAGAGAGAGGGCTGGGTTGTGGCTCAGCGGTAGAGTACTCGCCTAGCATATAAAAGGCACTGGGTTTGATCCTCAGTACAACATAAAAATACAACTAAGAGAAACATTAAAAATACAACTAAGAGAAATATTAAAAAAAAAAAAAGAGAGAGAGCGAGCGAGAGATAAGAGGGCTTGGGGGACTATGGCTCAGTGGTAGAATGCACACCTAACATACAGGACATCCTGAGTTCAAACCCCAGCACACACACACCCACCAAACACACACAAAGTACCAAAAGACATAAGGGGAAAAGATTTCCCTCCATCATATTCCTTTATATATGTGTGTATGTGTGTGTGTGTGTACATGTGTGTGTATTATATACACATACACACATTTATTGATTTATTGGTTTATTGATTTATTGATTTTAGTTGTTGGTGGACCTTTATTTTATTTGTTTATATGCAATGCTGAGACTCGAACTCAGTGTGTCACACATGCCAGGCAAGCGCTCCACCACTAAGCCACAACCATAACCTGCTCCATCATACTCTTGAACTTCTGCTAAATCCAAGAGTAATAATGTTCATTAGGGATGCCAAACTTCTTAAATTTTTTGGACTTGTATGGAATTCTTAATTTGGCTCAATGGTAGAGTAAAATAAAATTAACATGAATAAGTACTGAAGGAGATTTCCTCTCACTTGAAAAAAATATACTCATACTTGCCTGTAATCTGCCAATGGCCACTAGGCAAAACTTGCTTCCCTGGCCAGCTTCTGGGTCGTCATCTGGGAGGGAAACACCTTTGGAAGGTGAAATAAAAAGGATTTAGAGATCTCAAACTCAAATGCCTTCAAAAATCAGGTGAGTAATAATTCAAAATACATTTAGGTATGAAAAATCTAGATATAAAGCAATAGTTGCACAATTACATAGAGTTTACCATAAATGCCAATTGTTGTTTCAATGTTTATATGTATGTAATTATTAATTAATATATTTTATCCATACTAATTATACTTAACTGGAAAGCAAGTCTCACCCAAAGTAGTCTTTAAAAAAAAATACATATTAAGGCAGCCATTTTGTGATTATATCATTGGCAGAGAACAGATATCTTGCCTTACCTGTGACTTTTAAAGTAAATAAACAATGAAAATTGACTATAACAAACACCAATAATTATTTATGTCCCTCGGTCTTTTCCACTGTTTTACCTGGAAAGGGAAGAAGAGTACATTTCCCCCCATTCTTTCTAAGGTTATTTTCTATTTATCCAAGAAGTTAGCATTTCCTTAATAGCTATACAGAAGTATGAAATATCACCACATACCTTAAAAGTATGATTTATACAATATATAGACTAAAAAATGCAAACATTACTACTTGTATCACTTAAAATTAATTTTTCTTAATTATATTAAGTAGCATTTACTGGGTGCCTGCCATATGTCAAACAATGGGTTGGATGCTTTCCTTATATTAAATTTAATCCTCACAATAAACCAATATAGGAGAGAAGACTGACAAAAAATTCAAGCAATTTACCCTAAGTTGTATGTACTGCTAATAAATAACAATGCTAGAAATCAAATCCAAGTTTTTCCAAATTGAAGTTTAATCTCTACCCAAATATACCACCTTGCCTCTCTTTTCTCTTAGTTTCTGTCTACCCATCTGGCAGGGAAGGAATGAGGTTGATATGATTTGGAAACTTTCACAAGTCAATTTAAAAAGCTGATCCTTGTACTCCAACCTCCTTGGTCATATTTCATTTAACCTCAAATTCAAATAATCTAATCTACTCACAGTCTGATTTAAAGCCTTTGCAGACTACATTCTCTTTATAAGTTATTATATTTTCCCTTTGTTCCTCAAGGTCTTGCACCTATTTTACAAAGCTTTCCCAATTAGTTACATGAAATGCCAATGTTTCTTTACAACAATTAGTTAGAACATAGGTATCCAGTATACATTATTATGAATTTGCACATTTAGAATTTACAAAGCTCAGCTTGGGATTGGGTTGTGGCTCAGTGGTAGAGCACTTGCCTAGTATGTATGGTGCACTGGGTTCAATCCTCAACACCACATATAAAACAAATTTTAAAAATAAAGGTATTGCATCCACCTACATAAATAAAGGTATTGTGTCCATCTACAACTAAAATAAAATAAAAATAAAATAAAAACTACAGTCTCAAGCCAGAGGCACTGGTACATGCCTGCAATCCCAGTAACTTGGGAGGCTGAGACAGGAAGATCACAAGTTCGAGGCCAGCTTTAGCAATTTAGTGAGTTCCTCAGCAACTTCATGAGATCCTGTCTAAAAAAAAATACCTTAAAAAAAAAAAAAGCAAAAACCACATCCTAAGTGGGTCATGGTGGTGCACACCTGTAGTCCTAGCTACTCAGGAGGTTAAGGCAAAAGGATCACTTGAGCCCAGGAGTTCAAGGCCAGCCTTGGCAACACAGTAAGACTTTGTCTCAAAAAAAAAAAGAAACATATTCTGTAACATAGAAATAATGAGTTATTTTCAAATTTAAGTAATTCTTCTCCCCAACTGGAATATCAACTCAGTGATGAATGAGAAGTAGTCTTCTCCATCTGTCCTATTATCTTTCAACTTATAGCAAAGTACACTGCATATACCAGATATATAGTAAATGTTGATGATTTGCTTGGACTCTCTGAGGAACCAAGCGCACCAAGGGAGAAATCACTATCCAATTTTCCTACCTGCTGGAGGCCAGGCCTTGATATAGCCTGTGCAGTGGACCACAACAAAATGAGGCTCCCCATCCTTCACAGAGCCAAGTCCATTCCTAAAAGAGTTAGAGGAGTCAGGAGAAAAACCTTACAAAGTAAATCTTAAAGGGAAATGCTGCCCTTAATACCTTTAAATTTAGACTCTTGGGTGTTTAGAAAACAGGATAATAAGTGCTTGGACCTTTTCACCAAAGAGTGACCACCATAATTTTAAGCCTTGCCAAAGCAGAACAATTAAAAGGTACTGCAGCAAGAGGAAAATAGGTAAAGAAGTAGGCAGCTTCCAGTTTTTTAGGATGAGCAAGTGAACCTTTAAAGTTCAGCAAACTACTACCAGTAAAAAAAGTGGGAAATGAGGAAGAAGAGTAAGGGCTGCTAAAGAAAGGACTACAGTTAAGTTGGGTGAAAAAGTAAAGCTCTTTGTCATCCCTTTGGTTTTCACTACTTAGGACCTCACCTGCATCTGTTCCTCACAAAGCTTAATCTATTCATGGAGACTGAGTCCACAGCGCTATTGCCACACCTGTTTCAATGAACAGAGAGATTAAAAGCAGCCAGGCTGCATGATCAATGAACTTTCCATAGTAACAGCAGGATAACAGGCTCTGGATACAACCAAACACAGAAAACAAGTTAACAGTGCTCTTAACAATAAGGATGGACAAAGATAAACCAAGTCTGGTATTTCTAAAGCTTACAACTAAGAATTTAAATTTTTAAAAAAATGTGTCATATGTTCTTCAAATGTGAAGATTCTCTATATCAAAAACTGGTGGGCTGGGGATGTGGCTCAAGCGGTAGCAAGCTCGCCTGGCATGTGTGCGGCCCGGGTTCAATCCTCAGCACCACATACAAACAAAGATGTTGTGTCTGCCGAAAACTAAATAAATAAATAAATAAATATTTAAAAAAAAAAAAAACAAACTGGTGGAGCTTTCCTATAAAGAACCAGATAGTAGCAGGGGACTGTGGCTCATGCTTGTAATCCCAGTAACTCAGGAAGCTGAGGCAGGAGTATGGCAAATTCAAAGCCAGCCTTAGCAACTCAATGAGGCTCTTAGCAACTCAGCAAGACCCTATCTCAGAATAAAAAAGGGCTTGGGCTGGGGTTGTAGCTCAGTGGAAATGTAGCTAGTATATGTGAGGCACTGGGTTTGATCCTCAGCACCACATAAAAATAAATAAATAAAATGGAGGTATTGTGTCCATGTACAACTAAAAACAAACAAAACAAAACAAAAAAAAGGCGGAGGCAGGGTGGGAGGACGAGAGATGTGGCTCAGTGGGTAAGAACCCCTGGGGTTCAATAGCTGGTACCAAAAAAAAAAGGAACCCAGATAGTAAATATTTCCAGCTTTGTGGGACATACATCTGTTGCAACCAATTACCTATGACATTACAGCATGAAAGACACCATATGTAATATGTAAACAAATGGGCATAGCTATGTTCTCATAAAACTTTATTTACAAAAAAAGGGCTGTGGTTTGCTGACTCTTACTCTTCATTAATCACAACCTAATCTAGCTACTACAATTCATTACTCTTTATCTTATTCCTGCCTATGTCTTTGCATTAGCCATGTCCATTATGCTGGGATACTACCTCCAATCCTACTTTCCCACTCATTTCTTTAAAATAAAAACAACAAAACTTACATAGTTTAATATATTCCATGCTCTGTTCTAAATATCTTTACATATATTAATTCATACAATCTTCATAACAACTTCATGAGGTCAGACTGATATTACCTCCAATATTAAATGATAAAATCAAAGCACAAAAAAGTCAGGTGATTTCTCTGAGGTTTCAAAAGTAGGGTCAAAGCCAGAATTCAAATCCAAAGAATACTTTGGATTAGAACAAAATCCAGCAGTTTGAATCTAGAGGCTACTCTAAACCACTATTCATATAATATTCAATTTTGTACTTTTCCCAGGAAATCTTGCTTTGAATCCATTTTTTAATCAGCAAAATGGTAACCATGAATCTTAACCTATAGGGTGGCTGAAGGGATGCTACAACAGACATAAAGTACTGATCACATTGTTTGGCATAGAAGGGATTCAGATAATTCAGATAATGTTAGTTCCCTTACCAAATACTTTATTCTATGCTATAATTCACCTAGGTCTTGTACAGTTAAAATTAATTCAACTGAAGCTTGGATTTAAAATGTTAATTTCTCTGACAGAAAAAAATAAAAATAAAAAAATAAAAGCCTGAGCTCTTGAGGCTATGCCAAATTGTAATCCTCAGCCTAACACTTACCTCATTCGGCAAATGAATGATCTCCTTGAACCCATACACATTCTCATAGAAGACTGCTGACCTTCCTTTTTCACTGTTCCAGTCTTTAGATCCAGAATACGCCCTGAAGAAAGATGTGAAGAACAATCTGGAGTGCCATCTTGTGAGTGGGAAAGGGCAGAATACTAAAAGCAAGTATAAATCCTATTCACCCTCCAACCTCCTTGCTTATAACAGAATAGACCAAGCCGAAGACAAATTTTTTCAAGTCTAAATTATTTCAATTCTCATTTAAATTCAAAGGCAGCACTGAAAATAACTGTGCAAGGGAAGGTAGAAGTGGAAAGTAGTAGTAGAGATGCAAGAGGCAAAGCTATACTCTCATTCCTGATTAGATAAACACAAAAAGTAAACATCATTGGTTTAAAAACACAAATTTTTTTTAGTTGATGATGGATACAATACCATTATTTTATTTATTCATTTTTATGTGGTGTTGAGAATCGAACCTAAGCAAGTGCTTTACCATTGAGCCACACCCCAGTCCAAAAAACATGTATTTAATATGCTTCATAAACATACATCTGTCTCAATGTTTGGGGAAAAGGAAGAACTAAAAAAAGAAAAAAGAAATCTAGAAATACTTAAAAGAGGAAAAAACTAAAAAACTAAAGACCAGCATTAATATGATGTTTGGGGACTGTTCTGTATTTTAACCAGCAGTTTTTAATCTGCTTCTACTTTAAAATTTTTTCCTACAGTTGCTTGGGAACAAATATGACTTTTTTCCTTCTAACCAAACTTTGACAAAAGGACTGAATAGCATTAAAATGGGGGAATAGATGTAGGGGAAGGGAACAGTACAGATACAAACAAGGACTACAAAATACTACTTTATTCATTGACCAATAACAACTCCCATATAAAATAAAAATCTGTTATCACAGAGTTTACCATAAAGCCAAGAACAAGTGGACAGAAAAAAATACCATGAAATTATTCACACAAATGATATAGAAGCATAGATGACTCTTTTAATATGGAGGAAGATATTTTAAGCATTGAGTTTACTGTTTCATTTACAATAATATTAAGGTAAAAATGAACTTTTATATGAGCATAATCACTAAAGAAACATTTTCTAAGGATGAATCACAAACTAGATAATCTTCATGTGGATAAAAAGAACTGATTATATTCATTAGAGAAGAAAATACTAGAAGCTTTGCCAGCCAACAAATAAATTTAAGAGCTTTAAATACCTGTGATGCCTCAGAAAAATAAGAAAAAATTCTCATTCATTTCACATCCCTGTAACTCTCACCTGTCAGGGCATTTTCCGATGTGGAAAGCTGCTCCCGAAGTTTATCCACATCATCTGGGTGCACCTGATCATAAAGTGTGCTGCCAAACCATTCAGACTGTGGCTGGTTCAAAACAGGAGTCACTGAATCAGAGACATATACCACCCGGCCTGTCTCACATGAGACAATAAACAGAAAGCCATCTGCTGCCTCCAAGATCAAATGTTTCAGTTCCTAACCAAGGAAAAAAAATCAATATTTTAATATTTAAAATAAAGTTAATATTGAACTCTGAAAAGACAAATATTTCTATAGAGGGGAAAAATAAGATCCTTCATGCCGTATGTATACTTCTATAAGCAATTGCTGACTCATACCTGATTCACAGCCACAGGTTTCCACCCTAAATGAAATTACCTTCATTGACAACAAAGTTTTTTCAATAGCTACTTCTTCAATTGTTGCTACTACTTCTCTATGTTGCTATCCACACCTCTTTCTTCCTCTTTATCTCAGGACTCAAGAGGGGAACAAAAAGGGTTACCACCAACAATAACCTACATTTTCTAATACCCTTTATTTATTTATTTTTATACGGTGCTGAGGATCGAACCCAGGGCCTCGCACGTGCTAGGCGAGCACTCTACCACCGAGCCACAACCCCAGCCCAACTGACTTTTTTTTTTTTTAAATATTAATTTTTCAGTTTTCGGTGGACACAACATCTTTATTTGATTTTTATGTGGTGCTAAGGATCAAACCCAGCACCCCGCGCATGCCAGGCGAGCGCATTACCACTTGAGCCACATCCCCAGCCCCCAACTGACTTTTTAAAAAAATATGTTTTTGTTATAGATGGACACAATATCTTTATTTATTTTTATGTGGTACTGAGTATGGAACCCATGTGCTTGGCAAGTGTTCTACCACTGAGCTATAACCCCAGCCCCAATAATAACTTCCAATGACTTCTTGATCTCATGTTCTCTGGTCTCTTTTTAGGATCTTCTCAGCAAATATACACACTTTCTCTTTCCCTTCAGGCCTATTAACACGATGTTTCCTCAATTCTATATGAATCTTCCCTCAAGTTGGTCAGAATGTTCATTGCCAACGTTATATGTTCTAAAAATAATGTTACAGTCAATGACTGTATTCTCTTTCAATTATTTCTCAATCCCACTGCAATGATCACTCTAATACATTATAATTTTTTTTAGTTGTCTATGGACGTTTATTTTATTTATATGTGGTGCTGAGGATTGAACCGAGTACCTCACACATGCTAGGCAAGTGCCCTATCACTGAGCCACAACCCCAGCCCTATTAATTTTTTGAAGGAGTTTACTAACGACATCCTAATGGCCAATTCAAGTCCCTTTTCCTGGGTTTTTATTATTTTTTAAATTCAATCTCTCAAAGAAATCTGATGATGTCCATTCTAGCCTAAAAATTTTATTTTTCCCTAGATGCTTCTGATTCTACACTCCAATTTTTGCTTCTTCAGACCCTCTGTCCTCTGTTCAAATCTTTTTTTCTTTTTGGTACCAGGGATTGAACCCAGGGACATTTAACCAGTGAGCCACAACCCCAGCCCTTTCGATGTTTTATTTTGAGACAGAGTCTCCCCTAAGTTGCTGAGGCTGGCTTTAAATATACAATACTGGGTTGGGGCTATGGCTCAGAGGTAGAGCGCTTGCCTATCATGCGTGAGGCACTGGGTTCGATCCCCAGCACCATATAAAAACAAAATAAAGATATTGTATCCACCTATAACTAAAAAATAAATCTTTTTAAATAAATAAACAAATAAATATACAATCTTCCTGCCTCAGCCTCCCTAGCCTCTGAGATTACAGACATGTACCTACCACCATGCTTGGCTCAAATCTTAAATGTAGACAATCCCAAGATTTTATTCTTTATTCATACCACTGTTTCTTCTTAGGTTTTATACATCCCCAGAAAACCTTTTTTTTTCTTTACTTGAGCTTTCAGTAAACCTAATTTCCAAGTGTCTGTTATATATTTCCAAGTAGATACTGTAACTGCAACTCAATGTCAACATCTCAAAACCACAATCATATCCATGTCCAAAATATAATCATCTGTGTTCTTCCAGCATTCCCTTTCTTAACAGCATCCTCCTAGGCTAGAAATCTAACTACTCTCCCTCCCATTCCAGTTTTCTCAATTCTACTTTCCAATACTATGTCACTGTCCTAATCATCCTATGCTAAGACAAATGACATGATCTTAATAATTTTACTCCCTCCAATCCATCTTTAAAATGCTATAGGTACATTAAACACATTTTTTAATGGCTCCTCCCTGCCTAACAATTAAGATCTAAATTCTTTAAAACCTAAATATTCCATCTTCAGGTCCAAGCCTATCAAAATCTAAACTACTTGATTTTCCTTCAATAACTCACTTTCACACCTCTAAATTTTTGTTCAAGTTATTCCCAAAATCTATAATACTTTTCCCCATGTCCTCATTTTCTTTATCTCATTTCTACAATCCTCATTATTATACCTTTATTATAGAACATATTTTGTGTTTATGTATTTATTTACATGTCTGTATCCAACAGTGACTATATCTTTTATCATTCTTTGTATTTCTCATAGTACAAAGCACTTGGCTTGCCCACAAAAGGTGTGCTAAACTGATACTTGCAAACTACTAGTATTTATGTACTGACAGAGCAAATTACCTGTTTCAATGAACAGTATAAAAATTAGCTATACGTGCTTTCCAACTGGCCACCCTGTTTGCAGGATTCTTAATTCCTTTCTCCCAAACATTCCTTCACTTTTTCTAATTCTTCGGTTTTTTAACATTGGCATTACAGGTGAATTTGTTCTTATTTATACTTCCTGTATTTTCCAAAATGATCATTGGTTATTTTTTTTAATATTTATTTTTTAGTTGTAGTTGGACACAATACGTTTATTTTATTTATTTGTATGTGGTGCTGAGGATCGAACCCAGGGGCTTACATGTGCTAGGCGAGCGCTCTACCGCTGAGCCACAACCCCAGCCCTCATGGGTTATTTTTAATAATCAAAATAGAACATATTGGGGCTGGGGTTGTGGCTCAGTGGTAGAGGCACTGGGTTCAATCCTCGGCACCACATAAAAATAAAGTAAATGTTATTGTGTCCACCTATAACTAAAACAAATATTAAAAAAAAAAAAGATCATGTCTTCCTTAACCACCCTCATTCAAGTCTGGCCATTCTTATCACTTTAGCCATCCTTCCATTATATATTTATCTAGTCACACACAAATTTTTTTTTTTAATGTTTATTTGCAGATGGACAAAATACCTTTATTTATTTTATTTATTTATATGGTGCTGAGGATCTAACCTAGTGCCCCATGCATGTGAGACAAGCACTCTTCCACTGAGCCACAACCCCAGCCCACTCACAAATTATTACCAAAGAAAAAAGACCATTTTCTTCTCTGTATGCATCTTCCTATCATGCTCCACTTGTGTGTGTTTATTGCCTCTCACATATTTATATTCAGACTGAGTTCTTTAAAGGCAAGAAGGACTTCTGCCTTATTTTTCTCATACTGCATCAAATGTGAGAGCACATCCCTGAGCAGCAATGACTGCCTAGCCAGGAGCAGTGGCCCATGCCTATAATCCCAGTGGCTTGGGAAGCTGAGACAGGAGGATCGCAAGTTCAAAGCCAGCCTCAGCAAATTAGTAAGGCCCTAAGCATCTTAGCAAGACCTTATTTCAAAATAAAAAATAAAAAAGGGCTGGGGATGTTGCTCAGTGGTTAAGCAACCATGGGTTCAATCCCTGGTACCAAATCAAAAACAAACAAACAAAAAATCAATTATCGGACTCTTCCTATTACTTCTTTCATCCTCAATAACCCTAAAAACAATTGGTTCCATGGACATGGTAATCTCTTCTTTTGGGGATTATACTGTTCTTCTAAATTACAGGTTGTATTTATGAGATGAATTCTAAAATGCCTAGAAGGCTGGATATGGTGGCTCACACCTGTAATCCTAGTGGTTTGGGAGGCTGAGGCAGGAGTATCACAAGTTCAAAGCCAGCCTCAGCAACTTAGCAAGGCCCTAAGCAACTCAGCGAGACCCTGTCTCTAAATAAAATATTAAATAGGGCTGGGGATGTGATCTATGGTTAAGCACCTCTGGGCTCAATCCCCAGTACATAAAATAAAATAAAATAAAATACCTACAAACTTGCTAAATAATTTTCACAACTCTTCTCTGCTTTTTATCATCCCAATGCTTACTAACACTATAGCCAAGTACTGAAACTCTTTTTCCCATGGTCTGAATTTTTCCTGAGGAGCTACATTCTTGTCCAAATGAATCAAAACTTTCAACAGATTCCAGACTCTCACAGTTCTAAGTCCCAGAGACCTGATCAGTGAGGAAAGATGGCTTATAGGAACCATCAGTGGATGTGTTGCCAGTTCCTCTCAAGGACTTCATGTGAGAAACTGCCATGCGTAAGATGGTTAGCTTGTCTGGTTTTCGAGCCAGGGCACTACAGGTGGGTACCATGTCTGACAGTTCAGTGATGTAAGCTGTCATCTTGTTCCGTCGTCGCCGTTCAATTTCACTATGATTTTCCCTGTATGAAGAAAGAAAGGAGAAGCCCCATCCAGGTGATCACATCTGGTCATTTGGTAGCAGGGAAAGTAATGTGGATACCAAGTGAGCTGCTGAAGAATGTCATATTTTAGTTTAATGATGCTTAAGTCTCAGAAATTAAAATAAGGTTTGCCAACTTCATGCATAGCAAGCATGGAAGAGAATTTACAGAGAATAAGCAGATATCAAACTCCTCCCTCCATCTCCTGGGAACATCACATCCTATGTAAACTACCACTCCTTAGAACAAAAGTGTTTTAAGAAATGATAGTATTTATAAATGTTAGTTTCACTCACTTAAGTTCCCAAATGACAAATAATCTCAGCTTAGCTGATTAAATATTTCCTAATTTAATTTTTTGAAGGATAGAAAATAAAATGACTAATTTTTGCTAACTCAAGTATATTGCTCAATAGCTGATATAAGAAATAATAGCATAGATATTAAGGGTCTATAAAATGTTACTTTGCTGTACACTTCTCTCTTAAAACATGAGAAGGCAAAATTGAAAGATCTGAAGTTTTATTTGTCCCATTATGCACAAAAGTCCTATCTTCTGAGTGTGGTGCCAGTGCACTGAACTTAAGACACTGGCAGATACCAAATGGATCCCCATCTGGGACTAAGTGAGTTGAAAAGCGGGTGCTTAAAGGCCTGGAGACAATTTGGATCACACCATGATAAGTACACCACATCTCTAAAAAATGATTCAGCTCAAAATTGAGACAGAATGATATCACTGTCAAAAGGAATAACTCAGTAGTTTTCAAGTAGGAATTCTGAAAAGTCCAGGAGGTTTCTCAGTGTCCTCAATGGAGATAACTCAAGGAGAGACCAAATTACATACTGCTTATCTGCTTCTACTTGAGCAGCTTTGTTTAATCACCTTTAAATTCTTCTATTACCACTTCAGGATTCTACTTGAACAGCAGTTCTTTGTCAAAAAAAAAAAAAAAAAAAAAAAACTAACAAAAACAGCCTACTAATCCAAAAAAAATTTTCTTTTTTATGAGACGAGTAAACTGAAGTCAAGTGACTTTTCCCAGGGCAGCCCTCAGTCCCAACACAGTGCTTTCCTCACCACATCATGCTGAATCAGTTTTCTAGAGATTGAAAGTGTTAGTAAGAAGCATGGGTTGAAATGGTAGCAAAATGAGCTTGTGGCACAGCTCATAGAGGTAAATGAGAGAAGGGGAAAAATTGTAAAAATAAGTGTTTGTATCAATGATGTATTTCCTACTAAGGCATCCCAAGTTAGACCAGAACAGAAAAGTTTGAGTACATATCTTCTGCAGTATTTCTATGTTATAGATAATAGTCTCAAAAGAGAACTCTACAATTTTCTTTCCAAATGGCAAAAAGGTTTCACCACATAGGTTTGTTTATATATTTGTTTATTTGGGCGGAGGTACCAGGGATTGGACCCAAGGTCACACAACAGCAAAGCCAATATATACTGTAAATTAACATGATCTGAACAGACAAAGCCACATCCCCAGTGCATTTTAAAATTTTTTTTCTTTTGAGAAAGGGTCTTGCTAAATTGCTCAGGGCCTTGCTAAGTTGCTGAGGCTGGCTTTGAAACTTGAGATCCTCATGCCTTAGTCTCCTAAGCTGTTGGGATCACAGGCGTGTGGCACCGCACCCAGCTAGGTCCACTTTTAGTTACTTTGCCTGAGATACCTAAAATTTGATTCTAAGTCTTCCATGTATCCAAAAGATTTCTGACAGTAAGTCTAGAAACTTGATTATCTAAATAGGCACAAGGGAGTTAAAACTTTTTGGGAAATCACAGTAAGAATTTGATCACCGAAGCAACACCAGTAAGTGACATAGTAATCTAGGCTGTGAATCTACATAGGAAAATACAAGTGAGTTTTCTAGAGAGACAAGAGTAAATGCTGAGGTGTACACTGGGAAGAAACTACAAATACAGGTATGTTTATGGTTTTCTGATTTTAAAAAAAGTATTCCCTGCTAAAGAACCAACTAGCACAACTGAATTATTTCTAAATCCTTTTGATTCTGTGAAATTTTGTGCTGAGATAAAGAAGGAAAGAGAAAACTTAAAACTCATAGCAATTAAATTCCTAAGTAAAATTCCCTCAACTCACCCACTTTCTGATGGGGGAAGCCAAAGTTCCTGTTACACTCAAACTTCTAAAAAATCTTGTCCTCTCTTGCCACAGATAAGGAAAAAATACAAAGAGAAAGGGGAAGAAAAGATAGAGTAAGAAAAAGGATAGGAAAGCAGCATCATCCGCTTCATCATGCTAAAGACACTGTTCTCCTACCTGGCAAGTCTCTCTTTATCCGCAGAGCTCTGCTCATCATCCGACCTAAAAACAGAATTAATGAACTAAGCTAAAATTAAAACAAAAAGGATGGATGGAAAAAAGGAAGGAATGAAGGAAAGAAAAAAGAAGGAAGGAGAAATGGGAAAGGGAAAGAAAGGAGAAAAGAAAAAAGAAACAAAACACATGTAGAGAAGTGGAGGAAATGGAAATATGCACCAGAACCTTGCCTGCAATCTACAAAACGATCTGTTAGGACAGAGAAAAAGTAACTTACAAGATAAATGTCAAAATAAAAGCAAAGCCAATATATACTGTAAATTAACATGATCTGAACACAGAAAGCATTTTGTAAATCAATCTCTTTAGAGACCAAAGATATACAGAGCTTAAACAAAAAACAACAAAGGAAATTCAGGAATATGCTTCTCAAATATTGCTCCCAATCTGGAAAGAAAATTATACTCATAGGAGCTATTCTATAATAAAAAAAAAATTAAAGACAGAGTAAATTGAAGAAGGGTTGTCAAAACAAATGATCTCAAATAGTCAACCCCTACACACACACATACACTCAGAATAACCAACCATATTTGAGTGGAGAAATTATGTAACTAAGACCTAAGTTTCCGGCATATCCTTTATCACTGATGTGTTCCTAAAGTAATTCTTACTTCCAATTCAGTCACTTTACCATTTTCTGCGGAACAGCCGTAACATGGCTGGATCCTCAGTATCAACTCTTCCTCCCCTAGAGGAGGACAAAGGATTATCACTACATTTTTCCAGAAAACAGACACTGTTAAGAGTGGATGGCCACTGAAAAAATATCAGGGTATGTATTGGCAGGTCAGTGTATCTGTACTCAACTCTATTTCAGATAGATAATCCTCAAGCAAAATGTCTAAATATTGCATATTAACAGGCTTAAATTTTTAGTTATTAAAAATGACTATAACTATGATACACACTTGTAACCCACTCTTACTGAGGAGGCTAAGGTACCAAGATTAATTGAGCCTTTGAGCCCAGGAGTTCAAGGCCAGCCTGGGCAACATAGCAAAACCTCATTTCAAAAAAAAAAGGCAGCAATGAAATTTCTACAAATTAACATAGCAATTATAAGAAGCATGCAAAAACTGTATATATTGATGAGGGAAAGATTTTATATATATATATATATATATATATATATATAAAATCAATTCTATAGGCTATTAAATATTTTAGAGTTTTATGTTCCTTGAGTTATTATCTCTACATAGTTCCTTAACAAACTATGTTTTTTTTTTCAAGAAGTTGAGAAAATTCATACTTGTTCAGCCTTTCAAGACTCTTTATTGAATTCCCAAGGATATGTGAGGTTAACTACCTTAACACATCATGTCTTAAAGGAATAAGTGTTTGTAATAAATATGTAAATTCCTATTACTACTCCTATTACTACAGAACTGTAATCCTTTATGTACTCTAATATTTCTGAATAAGACATATGAATATGTAAACATTCACATTATGCACTACAAATGAAAACTAAAATAGTTCAAAGTTCATGTTTTCATGGCTTTTGAGAATTTCAATCAACAGAATATGGACCTATACCATCTATACTAATTGATGGCTTGACTTTTTTTTTTTAGTACCAGGGATTGATTGAACTCGCAATTCTCCTGCCGCAGCCTCCTGAGCTGCTGGGATTACAGATGGCTTGACTTTTTTAAGCAGTTTGAAAAACGATTCCTCAAACATCTATGTTTAGCTTCTCATTTTATAAGTGGTTCACAGCCAGGCATAGTGGTGCACACCTATAATCTCAGCAACTTGGGAGGTGGAGGCAAAAGGATCACAAGTTCAAAGCCAGCCTCAGCAACTTAGTGAGGCCCTAAGCAACTTAGCGAGACCATGTCTCTAAATAAAATATTTTTAAAAAGGGCTGACGATGTGGCTTAGTGGTTAAAGTGCCCCTGGGTTCAATCTTTAGTACAAAAAAAAAAGTGGTTCACATTCTAGACTTTATAATTAGCTACTTCAAGTAGGTTTTTTTTTTTTTTTTAATAATTTTTTATTTATTTGCAGGGCTAAGGGCCTCAAACATTAGGCAAATGTTCTGCCGCTGAGCTACAGCCCCGGCCCTTCAAGTAGGTTTGATAAATAAATCATTCATTTTTTTTTTAATAAATTTTTTAGCTGTAGATGGACACAATACCTTTATTTTATTTATTTAGTTTTATGTAGTGCTGAGGATGGAACCAAGTGCCTCACACTTACTAGGCAACTGCTCTACCACTGAGCCCCTGCCCCAGCCCAAATAAATTATTCTTAAAAAAACCTCTTATATTCATTTTTTTTTTCCTATTGCCATAATTCTGGCCCAGACACTCAGGATTTTACAGCTGTCTTATATTTCAACAGCTTCTACCTACTTCCGTGACTTCTGTCCTTCTCTTTAATCAATTCTATATGCTATCACAAAAATATCCCTACCAAGTATTTTATATGATATTCTCTAATTCAAAGCCTGTGATAGCATCTTTTTTTTAAAATTTTTTTTAATATTCATTATTTTTTAGTTTTCGGCGGACACAACATCTTTGTTTTTATGTGGTGCTGAGGATCGAACCCGGGACGCACGCATGCCAGGCGAGCGCGCTACCGCTTGAGCCACATCCTCAGCCCCTGTGATAGCATCTTACTGCTTCAAAATGTTTGAAAATTTTCTGCCTGATATTTCTTAGTTCTCCAAATGATTGTTTCTCACAGTGGTTTCCAGATGGACAGCATCAGCAATGAATAAATACTAAGTGCTCCGTTAAGTACTGTACTTTGAAATAGTAAGATTTTAACTTTTTTGAGGTTGCTACAAACTTAATTTTTTAAAACAGAAAAAACTTACTGCTTAATCATATATAATATGAACTTTCTAAAAGAAAAACAAGTATCTGAGTTGAGAAGGATTTAGTGCTTAGTAAAAAGTAAGTACACTTCATCATCTTGATAAATCATCTTAAATAAATTTATCTTAATCAAAATTCCATTCTTTACAAAAAGTTCTCTATCACCATTTTTTAATAAAATATTAATTTATATATATATATATTATTAGTTGTTGATTGACCTCTATTTCATTCATTTATTTATATGCAGTGTTGAGAATTGAACCCAGTGCCTCACACATGCTAGGCAAGTACTCTACCACTGAGCCACAACCTTCTTCTATCATCATTTCTTAAAGAATAAAACACATTTATCTATACAGATTTTCTAGTGTCTGTACTAATTTAATAATAAATTCATATAAATCCATAGTTTGTGTTCTTGTGGACTCCTAGCAAAAACACTCCTATAACTATCACATATATAGAAAAGCAACGTATAAAATATACCATTAGGTTTGAAGCTGAATCTTTCAGAATAGGAAATTCACTCTCATCCAGATGAAATGAAAACTCAGTATGGTTGGATTGCCTACTCCTAAAACAAGGAACAAAATAATCTACTACATTACCTGGCAAACCGCTCCTTATCATTAGACAGCTGATCATCATCACACCTGAAGTAGAAAAAAATGGGCTAATTCAATACACTTGTTTTACATCTATTTCTGAAATGAAAACTAGGAAGAAATAAAAATATTAAACAGGAAAAAAAAGCCAATGGAAAAGAATTGTGAAGCAATGGCAATTAATAACAGCATCCCACAGAACTTAAAAAAACCTGTGACTACATTTCTAAGGTTTCCAATGGCTTCATTACTCTTAACTTATCAGACACATGAAAACAAGATGATGGGGGCTGGGGCTGAAATGGCAGAGCGCTTGCTTAGCATGTGTGAGGCACTGGGTTTGATCATTAGTACCACATATAAAAATAGGCAAATAAAATAAAGGCATGCTATCCATCTACAATTACAAAAATAAAAAATTTACAAAGAACAAGATACGGGCTGCTGGGTGTGGTGGCACACACCCGTCATCTGAGTGGCTCAGAAGGCTAAGGCAGGAGGATCACCAAGTTAGAAGCCAGCCTCAGTAATTTAGAAAGGTCCTAAGCAACATAGGAAGACCCTGTCTCAAAAGTAAAAAATAAAAAGGGTTGGGGATGTGGCTCACTGATTAAACATCCCTGGGTTCAATCCCTAGTACCAAAAAAATAAAAAGATGATCTCATGAAGATATAGTTGACTGCCATGCCAGCATCACTCTACAGTTAGGGATAGGTAGGTTTTTGTTTATTTTAAAATCATTGTTAAAAAAAAAAAATCCACATAAAATTTACTAACTCAGGCTAGGGTTGTAGCTCAGTGATAGAGCACTTGCCTAACACAGGTGAGGCCCTGAGTTCAATCCTCAGCATCACATAAAAACTAAATAAATAAATGTTAAATTCTTTAAAAAAAAAAAAAATTTACTCGAGCTGTGGCTGTGGCTCAGTGGTGGAGCACTCGCCTAGCATGTCAGGGGCACTGGGTTCGATTCTCAGCCCCATATAATAAATAAAGTTATGGTGTCTATCTATAACTAAGAAAAAAAATAAAAAATTTTTCTTTCTCCTCCTCCTCCTCCTCTTCTTCTTCTTCTTCTTTTGTTGTTGTTGTTGTTGTTGTTGTTTTCTGTTTTTTGGTACCAAGGATTTTCTTCACCCATTCATCTATAGATGGACATTTGAGTTGCTTCCACCCCTTGGCTATTGTGAAAAATAGGGCAATGTATGTAGGGTATGCAAATAACTCCTAAAGATCCTGCTTTAAGCAGGAAGATCACTTAAGCGCATGAGTTGGAGGCCAGTCTGGGCAACCTAGCAAGAGACACTGTCTCAAAAAAGGAAAAACAAAACAAAACAAAACAAAAAAAAAAAACACTTCCAATTCTTTTTAGATATATACCAGAAGTGGCATTAAGGGATCATGGTTAACTCTATGTTTAATTTTTTGAGGCACCACCATATTGTTTTCCATCATGGCTGCATGATTTTACATTACCACCAATAGTGTACAAGAGTTCCAATTCCTGCACACCTTCACTAGTACTTGTTTTGCTTTTTTTAATAGTGTCTATCCTAATAAGTGAAAAATGACTTTTCATTATAGTTTTGATTTGTGTTTCTCCAATAATTACTAGAATATCCCTCATGTGCTTGTATCTCTTCTTTAGAGAAATATCTAGTCAAGTCCTTGACCTGCTTCCCCTGCCCCTTTTTGGTACCAGGGATTGAACCCAGGGGTACTTAACTACTGAGCCATATCTCACATCCCCAGCTCATATTATTTTTTATTTTGAGACAGGATCTCACTAAGTTGTTCACGGCCTCGCTAAATTGCTGAGGCTGGCTTTGAACTTGTAATGCTCCTGCCTACATCTCCAGAGCTGCTGGGATTACAGATGCACCACCATGCCCTTTGCCTGTTCTTTAATCAAGATTTTTTTTTTTATTGCTATTGCTAAATTGTAGGAGTTCTTTAAGTGTTTTAGATGTTATTCTTTCTAAGATACATGACTTGCAAGTATATCTCCTAATTCCACAGACTGTATTTTCATTCTGCTGATTGCTTCCTTTGATGTACAGGAGTTTTTAAAGGATAGTTTTAAATTATGATTTAAATAACGCATTTTCTCTCCTTGACCAAGAAAACGCATTCCATTCATCCCAACTATTTAATAGATAGATAACCTCCTTTCTACTATACAAAGATATACTGAAGGAGAAAGACCTAACTCCAAAAACACTATTCTCTATTTTGTGGTAATCAAGCCCAGGGAGCACACATGCTAGGCTAGTACTACCAAGCTACATTCCCAGCCATTTTTCCTCTATAATGGGCACACTCTGCTATGCTTAGTGTACATACCTATAATGCCAGCTACTGGGGAAGCTGAGGCAGGATTGCAAGTTTGAAGCCAGTTTGTACAACTTAGAGATACCCTGTCTCAACATTTAAAAAGGGTTGGAGGTAGTTCAATAATTGAGCACCCCTGGATTCAATCCTCAGTACAGAGGGTTTAAAAAAAAAAAAAAGGCTAATAATAGAGGCTAGGGTATAGTTTAGTGGTAGAGGGCTTTAGCATACAAGAGGACTTGGGTTTAATCCTTGGCACGGCAAAATAAAATAAGCCAGACTTTGTGGTGCATGTCTGTAGTCCCAGGAACCTGGAAGACTGCGGCAGGAGGGTCAGAAGTCTGAGGCCAACCTCAGCAATTTAGCAAGATCCTATCTCAAAATAAAATAAAAAAGAATAGGATGTAGCACAGTGGTAAAGCATCCCTGGGTTCAATCCACAGTACTGCAAACATAAAATAATAAAAAGTAAAAATAGGGGCTGGGGATGTGGCTCAAGCAGTAGCGCGCTCGCCTGGCATGCGTGCGGCCCGGGTTCAATCCTCAGCACCACATACAAAACAAAGATGTTGTGTCCGCCGATAAATAAAAAAAATAAATAAATATTAAAATTCTTTCTCTCTCTCTCTCTCTTTAAAAAAAAAAAGTAAAAATAAATATATAAACATATAACAGTCATTTATTATCAAGTGTTATGTATTGTACATAACTACATGTGCTATACTTTTGCACAACTAACAGCACAGTATGTTTATACTAGTAGTACCACAAACATTTGAGCATGATATTATAATGGCTACAACATCACTAGGTGATAGGAATTTTGCAGCTTTATTATAATCTCACGGGACCACTGTCATATAGTGGTCTGCTGATTACCAAAATGTTATGCAAAGAACATGACTGTAGTTTTGGACTAGTGGATTTTATGGAATCAACAACTCAGGATTATATCTAATTGATCGGTATAAATAAATATTAGTGATTACCTATATACCATTCATGAACACAATTCCACTAATAGCATCTATCATTATAATTAAGAATTCTCAAGAGATCCTTGAAAAAGTCTATCATTGGCAAAAAACCCTGAAATTTCTTCCCTTCCTATCATTTATTGAAACCCTCTAATTCTCAAAGAGACCTCTTGGAGAATTACTCTTATTTGTTAAGTATTTTTTATGAAGGACCAAGTCAGTTATTTTCAAGAGGATCTAGCAAGGTTCATCATTCAGTCAAAACTAGAAATGTAAATCTTAATGTTAAACATTACTGTAAAGTAACATACTGATGTTACTGGCTATACTAAACATTATAAAACTAAACAAGGGCAAACAATTCACAATACAAACATCCTCTGCATAAAAATAAAAAAATGATGGGGCTCGGGCTGTAGCTCAGTGGCAGAGTGCTTGCCTAACACAGGTGAGGCACTGAGTTCAATCCTTAGTTCACATAAAAGTAAACAAAATAGGGGCTGGGGTTGTGGCTCAGTGGTAGAGCAAGTCCAAGCACTTGATTCAATTCTCAGCACTGCATAAAAATAAATAAAATAAAGGTATTGTGTTCATCTACAACTAAAGCATATTTTAAAAAATAAAAATAAACAAAATAAAGGCATGCTGCCAATCTATAACTACAAAAAAATTTTTAAATAAATAAATGGGGGAAAAAAGTGGGGAAATGATAAAAAGTTGGAAAATGATGTGTGTATGTGCACACATATTCACTTATAGATGCTTGTATATGCACTTTTTCCAGAAGGATACTCAATAACTATAAAAATCTAAGGGAAGAATTAAGTGTTGGCGAGGATGTGGGGGAAAAGGTAGATGCATATATTGCTGGTGGGACTGCAAAATGGTGCAGCCAATATGGAAAGCAGTATGGAGATTCCTTGGAAAACTGGGAATGGAACCACCTTTTGACCCAGCTATCCCACTCTTCAGATTAAAAACAGCATACTACAGGGTCACAGCCACATCAATGTTTACTGAAGCACAATTCACAATAGCTAAACTGTGGAACCAATCTAGATGCCCTTCAGTATATGAATGGATAAAGAAAATGTGGTATATATACACAATGAAATATTACTCAGCAATAAAAGAGAATAAAATCATGGCATTTGAAGGTAAATGGAATGGAGCTGGAGAGTGTGATGCTAAGTGAAGTTAGCCAATCCAAAAAAAAACAAATGCCGAATGTTTTCACCAATATAAGGAGGCTGATTCATAGTGGGGTTGGGAGGGGGAGCATGGGAAGCTTAGACAAACTCTAGAAAGCGCAAAGGGGAGAGAGGGAGAGGGAAGGGGCAAGGGGGTTAAAAAAAGATGGTGGAATGAGATGGACATCACTTCCCTAAGTACATGTATAAAGACACAAATGGTATGAATATGCTTTGTATACAAGCAGAGATATGAAAAATTGTGCTCTATTATATGTAATATGAACTGTAATATATTCTGCTACCATATATAACAAATTAGAATAAAAATATAAAAAATAAAGTTAGCTATTAAAGATTTTTTAAAAATCTAAGGGGAAGAATTCTGAGGGTCAAGTGAAAGGATGGTGTACTTTTAATGTATGTTAATATCTGCAATTCTGCAATAAATATATTACTTTTCCAACTAAAAAACTTATTTAATAAAACAAACTAGTAAATGAATAAATGAAATCTGGGTAGCCACATAGCCATATAATTTTTTTTAAACACAGCTCCTTTAATTTACTAGTCTAGTACCCATTATTGGACAATGTAGAAACTATCAAGGTAATATTTTCAACTTCAGAAAGAAAAAAACGAAGACTCAATCATGGTATCTTCCTTTCTTTATGTCTTACTGCTTCTTTACATGAAAACAAGCCAAGCAATTACTATTCAGCAAGAATATCCTTCCTTTCTAGAAGAACCCCTTCATTAACGTATTAAAAAGTCCATTTTTCAATGTTTCAGAGGGTATAAGACCAGCACATTAACAAATTATTCCTCCCCATATTCACTTCCTTGTGTAGCCATCTCTAACATCGATTCAAGACATGAAGATATGGTTTGTTTTGGCCAAAGGGACATCAGTAAATGTCACAGAAGCAGAGGTTTGTTAATCACCCTGGAAATTGCCCCTTTGTACTACAGTCATCACCACACGAAGAAACTCAGTCTCACCTCCTTGAAGGCAAAAGACAACAGAAAAATACACAGGCATCCCAAATGAGTCTCTCAGCTGACCAACAGGCTGAATGCAGTCTTATGAGCAAGTCTAGGCAACATCAATAGAATAACCATGCAGTCAATACACATAATTATGGACATAATTAATTTTTGTTCTTTTAAACTATGCATCAATAGAGGGTCTTGTAAATCGTCTGAACTCTTCTGAGGGCATGCCTCTGAAATTACTAACAGAATTCCTGAAAATATTCTGGACATTATAAATATGAAAATGTATAGTTTTAGGATGAAATACTTTCATTTGTCCAAAGAACAAAAATATTACAAGTCAGAAGTATAAAGATCATCAATTAATTTTTAGCATCAGAAATCTAGATAAAATTTTCCAAACTCTTACCTCAAAAATTTACTGTTCCCTTCCCCATCATCATCAAAATCCAGCCTAGGGAAAGCCAACAAGAAATACTATAAGCTTATTTATCAATAGTTATCACACAAAACATTAAGAAATTAATATTTCTCAATATACCTACCTATACACTTATCCAAATAGAGAAAAAAAAGGAAGTGAGAAGTCAAACAAAGCTACATTACCTTTTTCTCATATTGCCAAACTGGGCAAAGAAGCTGGACAATAGAAAAAGGGTACCTACTACTACCTCAACACCTCCCTGGAGTAGCAGCCTATCTTTATCAAAGGTTTGCATCACAGTACAACCTCTACAAAAGGAATAGGAGCCCAGCATGGTGGCTCACATCTGTAATCCTAGCTGCTTGAGACTAAGGCAAGAATATGCAAGTTAGAGGCCAGCCAAGGCAATGTGTTAGCAAGACACTATCTCAAAATAAAATAAGAAGGATCGGAGGGGTAGTTCAATTGTAGAGCCTGCCTAGCATGCAAGATATCTAGGTTCAATCTCCAGTACTGTCAGAAAAGGAGAGGGGGAAAAAAGGAATAGGAATCCACTCAAAAAAGACAAGAAAAAATTAATATGTCAAAGGGGAGGGTGGGGAGAGATTATGAGGATAGGAAAGATGGTGGAATAAGATGGACATCATTACCCTAGGTACATGTGTGATTGCATGAATGGTATGTCTCTATACCATGTACAACCAGAGAAATGAAATGCTGCACTTCATTTGTGTACAAAAGAATTGAAATGCATTCTGCTGTCATGTACAACTAAGCAGAACAAATAAAACAATTTTTTAAGTTAATATATGAATAATTCTGGGTTTGTTTGGGTCTTTTTTGTTTTGTTTTGTTTTCTTGGTGCAGCCCTAAGGATCAAACTCAGGGTCTTGAACATGTTAGGCAAGTGTTCTATCACGAGGCTACAACTTGTGCCTCAGGTCTATTTTTTTATTTCTATGGCCTATTCTAAGCCATTTTAACAGGTTTCTGAACATCTTTCAAAACAGTAATATTACATAAGGGAGTGATATAAGACAAGAAGTTTTTAGTCTAAACATATAATATACATTATGCTCAAGATACTGAGCTGAGAGAGGTAAAAACAAAAACCTTGCCCTGAAGAGGCTTTTTGTCTAGACAAATACAAATATAAAACAAGTGAGAATGGAAAAATGCTGTCTGAGGAACACAATCAATATGCTATTGGGGGCTGGGGATATAGCCCAATTGGTAGAGTGCTTGCTTTGCATGCACAAGGCCCCATGTTCAATCCTCAGTACAAAAAAAAAAAAAAGACTTGGCACTAGGGTGTGGCTCAGTGGTAGAGTACTCCCCTAGCATGTGCGAATCCCTGGGTTCAATCCTCAGCACAACATAAAAATAAACAAATTAAAAAGTGTATTGTGTCCAACTACAACTAAAAAATAAATATTTATATATATATATATATATATGCATGCTATGGATGTTCAATGAAAGAAGCAACTTTCACTTTAAGGGACTAGGGAAGATTATGGGTAATAGAGTAGGCCAATCTCCTATTAATCTCCATACTCTTAAAACTAAAACATTGCTCATGTTACAACTTTAACCCAGTTATCACTCTTGACATCTCTACATGAATTGTGTGTGTGTGTGTGGTGCTGGGGATCAAATCCAGGACCTTTCTGATTGCTAGGCAAGCACTCTACCACTGAGCTATATCCCCAGCCCTCACTCTTAGCATCTCTACTAGTGGGATAACCTGGTATTATAGATCTCTAGATGGAATACATATGAAGTACATGGTATTCCAAGTGTTTGTTCCTCTTCCTTCCCTGATCATCTGTCAAAATCCTATCATTTGGGGTACTGGGGTTGTGACTCAGTGGTAGAGCACTTGCCTAGCATGAGTGAAGCACTGGGTTAGATCCTCAGCACCGTATAAAAAGAAATAAATAAAAATAAAGGTTCATTCACAAGGTACTGCTGGGCTGTGGTTGTGCCTCAGTGGTAGAGTGCTTGCCTAGTGTATGGGGGGCAATGGGTTCAATTCTCAGCACCATATAAAAATAAATAAATAAAAATAAAGGTTCATCCACAACTAAAAAAATATATATTTAAAAATAAAACTACTGTGTCCATTTACAACTAAAAAAATATTTTAAAGGGGCTGGGTTGTGGCTCAGCGGTAGAGTGTTCACCTAGCACATGCGAGGCCCTGGGTTCGATCCTCAGCACCATATAAAAATAAATAAATAAAGATCTATGTCCAACTACAACTAAGAAATAAATATTAAAAAAAAATTTTTTTAAATCCTATCAGGGGCTGGGATTGTGGCTCAGCGGAGAGAACTCTCCTAGCACGGGCGGGTTCAATCCTCAGCACCACCTAAAAATAAAGGCATTGTGTTGTGTCCATCTACACCTAAAAAAATAAATGTTTTTTTTTTTTTTAAATCCTATCGTTCAGGGCTATGGATGCATGCATCTCAGTGATAGAGCGCTTGCCTAGCATTTGTAAGTCACTGTATTCAATCCTGAACACCATAAAAAAATAAATAATAAGAATTTAAAAAACTATTGTGTCTTAAAAAATCCTATCAATCTACCTAATAACTCCATTTCTAAGAATCTATCTTAGAGAAATAACTTAAAATTGGGATGTGGGAGGTTTTATGTACAAATAAGTTTATTGTGGTATTATACATAATATAAAAATCTTGAAAATAATTTAAGTGTCTCATAATAGGAATTCAGCACATCTTCCACAAAAACATGAAAAATCACATTAATATATAACATGTAACAATATGAAAATAAAGGCTATTATAGGAGAAAAGATTGGGTTATGATAAACTATATAATTATCTTAAGATATTTACATATAAAGACTAAAGGAGGGCAGGGTTGTGGCTCAGTGGTAGAGTGCTCACCTAGCACACGTGAGGCCCTGGGTTCGGTCCTCAGCAACCACATAAAAATGAAATAAAGATATTGTTGTCCACCCACAACTAAAAAACTTTTTAAAAAAAAGACTGAAGGAAATACACTAAAAAATCTATGATTGCTGACTTCGGCCATCTTATCGTTCTTTCTAAACTTCTATATTTTCTAGTGTTTCTTTTAAAAAAATACTTAAAAGACAATATATTTTTCTGATTAATAATAATACATATTCATTTCAGAATATCTGGAAAATAATGAAAAACAAAAGAAAATAAGTCACCCATAACTCCATTATCCAGAAATCTGATAAGTATTCTTTTAATTTTTCACTATGCACACATTCTGTTTTTTCTGACAGTGAAATACTACATATACTATAACTTCTTTTAATATATGAAAGTTTCTGTACTGATATATATTTATCACTTCTAATAGCTATATAGTATTCCATTTTTAAATATAACTTTCTCCGGCTGGGGATGTGGCTCAAGCGGTAGCACGCTCACCTGGCATGCGTGCGGCCCAGGTTCAATCCTAAGCACCACATAGAAACAAAGATGTTGTGTCTGCCAAAAACTAAAAAATAAATATTAAAAAAATATATACATATTTAAATTTATATATATATGTTATATATATATATAACTTTCTCAAAAGATGCCCTAATTTTGATATTTACATTTCTTCTGATTGTTTGCTACTATATATAACTACAACACATTGTTTTAGAGAGTGAAAGCTAATGCTAAACTCCTAAGATTCACATCCTAGATTGATAACTTACTAACTTTGGTTAGAAATTTACTTATTCATCTCATTCCTCAGTAAATGAGTTAAAATTTATAAAACTCTTGTACATATAGCAAGTCTTAATATGTTATTCATTTCATTACTTGACCCAAGGATCATTCTTGCATTACTACTGATAGCAACTAGTTATAATATTAACTACTTTTTTTTTTCCCCTGGTACCAGGGATTGAACTCAGGGGCACTTAATGACTGAGCCACATCCCCAGCCCTTTTTTTTTTTTTTTTTTGCATTTTATTTAGTGATGGTCTCCCTAAGTTGCTTAGGGCCTCGCTAAGTTGCTGAGTCTGGCTTTGAACTTGCAATCTTCCTGCCTCAGCCTCCCAAGCCACTAGGATTACAGGCATGCGTCACTGCACCTGGCTATTAACTACATTATTTTTAAAAAGAAAACGAAGGAAAAAGGAAAATTTTATATTTAAAACGGACACAATACTATCCATCATTCCTGGCCCTTTTAAAGCAACCTCCTTTCTTAGGCTTTTCCCATTATTTACCAATTAAATGCAGTATTTTCATACATTAAAAGCACTACACTCGTTTCTTTCTTATAAAACTTGTAATCTACCTTGTATTATATTTTTTAAATTTATTTTTTAGTTGTAGTTAGACATGATACCTTTATTTTACTGATTTTTATACGTGGTGCTGAGGCTGAAACCCAGGGCCCTGCACCTGCTAGGCAAGCACTCTACCGCTGAGCCACAACCCCAGTTCCCCCTTATATTATATTTTATATATATATATATATATATATATATTTTTTTTTTTTTTTTTTTTTTTTTAAGAGAGAGAGAGAATTTTTATATTTATTTTTCAGTTTTCGGCGGACACAACATCTTTGTTTTGTATGTGGTGCTGAGGATCGAACCAGGGCCGCACGCATGCCAGGTGAGCACGCTACAGCTTGAGCCAGATCCCTAGCCCCCCTTATATTTATTTATATATGCAATGATTAGCCTTGTCAGAATTCAAGCAACTAGGAAACAAGGAGTATATCTCATTTATCACTGGATCCTATTAGCAATCAGTACAATGTCATTTACTAATGAGGCACTTAATAAATACTTTTGGAACTGAAATGAGCTCTGTGTTCCATATCACAAAAAGCAACCAATAACTTAGAAAAGAAATATTCCAGAGTTCAGCATCGAGTTGGGGTCGTGGCTCAGAGGTAGAGCACTCACCTAGCATGCATGAGGCACTGGGTTCGATCCTCAGTACCATATAAACTAAAATAAAGACATTGTGTCCGCCTATAACTAAAAAATAATATTAAAAAAGAAGCTCATCAAAATGATTTTGAGAACAGATTAAAAGCTTAATGAAAGCAGCCAATAGTTTTCTCAGCGATAGTGAAATCTCTATGCTTAGCCACAGTCCTTCACCTTGTAGGTTTTTGCTTTTAAAAAAAAATTACTTATAATAAATTTAGATAAAAACATAAATTCTATAAAAGGAAAAATCCAGGTGCTGAGGAGATATATGATCATAGTATACTAAATAAGTAGTTGAAGTGAGAGAGTTAGGAATAGCCAAGTGGGTTGATCAACTAACTCAATCAGTGTTGTTTATAGGAGAAATATTCATAACACTATACTCAAACTTACCCTGGTCGCCGCTTAATAGCTCTCTGGACAATGGCTCCTCCACCTTGTATCCCAGGGGCAGGGTTTCCAGAGGCAATGGCTGGACCTAATGATGGTACATCTGATGTCATTTCTGTCATAGAAAAACATTTAAAAAAAATAAGATCTCTGCTTGGGTCTATGAAAGGTTCAAGCTATGGATAAAATCTCAGTTATTTATTAGAACTGTCAAATATTCATATCCATATTGGTCTCCTTGAATTTTCACATTGGGAAATGGTTTTACCATATTTCAGTTTTCCCCATTTAGTAAAGTTTAGAATATGGAGTACCATATTCTGTAGCCTTCACTTTTAAAAAGTTTTATGTATTTATTTAGGTACCAGGGATTGAATAGGGATGCTCAACTACTGAGCCACATTCCCAGGCCTTTATGCATTTTATTTAGAGACAGAGTCTCACTAAGTTACTTAAGGCCTCACTAAGTTTCTGAGGCTGGCTTTGAACTCACAATCCTCCTGCCTCAGGCTCTTGAGCCATAATAAGCTTTTTTAGGGGGGGTACCAGAGATTGAACTCAGGGGCATTTGACCACTGATCTACATCCCCAGCCCTATTTTGTATTTTATTTAGAGACAGGGTCTCAATGAGCTGCTTAGCACCTCGCTTTTGCTGATAGCTTTGAATTCACGATCCTCCTGTCTCAGTCTCTCAAGCCGCTGGGATTACAAGCTTTCGCCACTGCACCCAGATCATAATAAGCTTTTAACAGTGACATATTAATTTAAAACAAACTCATACACAAAATGTATTGGTTTATACATTTATTCATGCAACAAATATAACTGAACTACTTTTATATATTTTAATTAGAAAAGCAAACTGAAAAGCCTGATACTAATAATAACCTAAATTCCAATATTTAAAATAAAATTATATAGAGTAAAACTGAAGCTGGGCAGGTTGGCACAAACCTATACACCCAGCTACTTGGGAGACTGAAACAGGAGGACTGTGAGCTCAAGGTTAGCCTGGGCAATACAGTGAGACCCTGTCTCAAAAGTAAATAAATAAGCAAGCAAGCAAGCAACTGGGTGCTGCACACCTGTAATTCCAGCTACTCAAGAGGCAAAGGCAGAAGGATCATTAAGTTCAAGACCAATCTGTGCAGCTTTGTGACACCTGTCTCAAAATAAAAAATAAAGAAGTCTGGGACTGTAGCTCAATGGTAGAGTGCTCCTAGGTTAATCCTCAGTACTGAAAAGTAAATAAAAGTTTTTTTAAAAAAGAAAGAAACAGAGTAAAACTGAAAGTCCCTCAGTTTGTCTTTCTTGCCTGCTCCTAACAACTCACCTCTCCTTCTAATTCAATTCCATCTACCAGGAGTAACTACTGCTAACAGGTACATCTTATCTCTTTATCAATTTTCTCTAAGTTTATATATACTTATCTTTGGAATAAAAAACAGATACCTCTTTTCATAGTAAAAATGAAATTTTGCTCTGCAACTTCCTTTTTTGTCATTTAAATATATATCATAGATATTGTATGTGTATTATACATAATATAAAATTATAAATAATATACAATCACACATATAACTCATTATTTTTTAAAAACATTTTATTTTAGTTGTAGATGGACACAATATCTTTATTTTATTTATTTTTTTTATGTGGTGCTGAGGATGGAACCCAGTGCTTCACACATGCGAGGCAAGCACTCAACCACTGAGCCACAACCCCAGCCTACCTCATTCTTTTTTATGACTTCATGTTATTTGATTCATATTGTTTAACTATGTACCATGTATGTATGTATGTATGTATGTATATATTTGGAATTTTTTATATTACAGAGCAAATTTTAATAGGATATGTCCCACAGGGATAAAGTAACCTCTCAGTCCCAGAAGTGGTCCAGGGGAAAGAGAGGCTACCTGAAGTATGGAAACATAAAAGGGACCTCCTACAGACTCAAGGCAAAGGGAATGCCATCAATGCTGGGACCTAAGCAATACACAAGGAATCATGAGCATGGTGGGGCTGACTCCAAGTTCAGAGGCAAAGGGCAAAGGAATTAGACACAAAGCTATTTGGGCTCCTTCTTGTTTGCCTATGTTTGCTTCAGCAGCATGATCTCCAAGTCCCTTTGCTTATGTGGGCAGCAGCAGAAACCCATCACCTTGACCATTACCCTCAGAGTTGCACTGCACGTTCACATTGGGATGGGCTCACACTGTTTACCATGGGCCATGGCTACAGCAGCAGCTCCGGTCTGTTTTGGTTATGTCAACTCATTCCGTCTGACACTGCAGGCCTCCAAATGTATCATATTTTATTCAACCATTCTCCAACTGACATTAAGGTTATTCCCAATTTTTAACTATTATAAATAATGTACCATTATTATAAATAATATATATTTACATATAAAGCTTTAAGTACTCTTGCTATTTAGGATATATTTCTAAAAGTGAAATTTGTTTCTAAGCATATAAGCACTTAAAATTTTTTTGATATTATTAAATTTTTAATAACTGCTAGTAGAATTACTTGAAAACAGTTTCACGTTACTTCCCACATTTTTATAAAGTGATTAGTAAATGAGAACAAACAAATTCTACATAGAAACCATTGAGCAATTATTCATATTTCCATTTACAATGAACATTCATTGGGGGTGTTCAGACCCATTCTTTGCACAATGTTAATTTCTTTTCTTTCTTTCTTTTTTTTCTGCAGTAATAAATTTTAATTTAAAATGTTCGCTTTATTTTATTATCAATTTTTTATTTATATATGACAGCAGAATGCATTACAATTCTTATTCCACATATAGAACACAAAGCTATTTGGGCTCCTTCTTGTTTGCCTATGTTTGCTTCAGCAGCATGACCTCCAAGTCCCTTTACACAATGTTAAATTCTTTTCTTTCTTTCTTTTTTTTCCTGCAGTAATAAATTTTAATTTAAAATTTTAATTTAAAATTATATTCAAAGTATATTCACACCAATTCGTATCTTTATACATGTACTTTGGATAATAATGTCCATCATATTCCACCATCATTTCTAACCCCAAGCACTTAAAATTTTGATTGTTACTACTAAATTACATTCTAAAAAGACGGCAACACGACATACCTATACTAACCCGGTATCAGAGAACCTATTTTACTCATTGGCATTCAATTTAGTTTAAAAAAATATGAAATGTGGGGCTGGGGCTGTGGTTCAGTGATAGAGTGCTTGCCTTGCACATATGAGGTACCGGGAATCCTCAGCACCACATAAAAATAAATAAACAAAATAAAGGTACTGTGTCCATCGACAACTATATATACAGGTATATATTTATTTATTTATACAGATAGATAGATAGATAGTTGTCCATCTACAAATATATATACACATATATATATATATACATACACACTGAAATGTGAAATGCTCCAGAAAACCAAAATTTTTTGTGTGCCAATATGAGAGCACAAGTAGAAAATCTCACACCTGACTTCAATGTAATGGGCTAAAGTCAAAACACAAGCATACTAAAAATACTGTATAAAATTACCTTTAAGCTATATTTGGGGGTACGGGGAGTACCAGGGATTGAATTCAGGGGCATTCAACCACTGAGCCGCATCCCCAGCCCAATTTTGTATTTTGTTTAGAGACAGGGTGTCACTGAGTTGCTGCATCTCGCTGTTGCTGAGGTTGGCTTTGAACACGCAATCCTCCTGTCTCAGCCTCCTGAGTTGCTGGGATTACAGGCGTGCACCTGTGCCCGGCTTTAAACTATATGTTTAAAGTACAGGAAACAATGTATTTTGTGATTATACTTGAATGCCATCCACAAGATAGATTATATATATATATATATATATATATATATATATATATATATATATATTATATACACATACATACAAATATTCCAAAATTCAAAAAAATCTGAAATCTAAAACACTTCTTGTCCTAAGCATTTCAGATAAGGGATACGAAGTCTTTTTTATTTTTACCAATTTTTTTAATATTTTTTAAATAGACACAATACTTTTATTTTATTTGTTTATTTTTGGAGGATCAAACCCAGTGCCTCACAAGTGCTAGGCAAATGCAAGGCCACTGAGCCACAACCCAAGCCCCTATTTTTACCAAATCTTAAAGGTAAAAATGATACATTTGTTTTCCCTAGCATTATGTTTCCTTTTAGATTTGGAAGTCATCTGAAATAAGAGTTGACTCTTCATAGCTTTCATATTTTTATGATGAATAATGTGTGCTATGGCTTCAATATCATTTAACTGTTTAATGTGAGTGTCCACCAAAGGTCCACTGTTAAAGGCTTGATCCTCAGGTTGGCACTAGTGGGAAGTGTTGTTGAACCTTTTTGGGAGGTGGTGTCTAATGGAAGGTCCCTAGGTCATAGGGGTCATACCCCTGAAAGGGAATGTAGAAACTCACCCATCATGTTTCTTCCTTTACTTCCTCCTCCCTCTGTCTCCTGGCTCACAATGCACTAACTCCCATACACGCACTAACATCCACAGCCCTAAACTAAACTGAGCTGATATAGGCAACATGCCTTTCGACCTCCAGAACTATAACTAAATAAATCTCTTCTCTTCATAAATTAGTTACCTCAGGTATTTCATTAAAGCAACATAAACCAGACTAATACAAGGTGTCCTTTTCTAATAAATTTGTAGTATGCAAAGATTAAGCCAGGCGTGGTAATCCCAGTGGCTAAGGGGCTGAGAGAGTAGGACCACAAGTTCAAGGCTAGCCTAAGCAAAGCAAGATGCTAAACAACTCAGTGAGACCTTGTCTCTAAGAAAAACACAAAATAGCTAGGGATGTGGCTCAGTGGTTGAGTGCCTTTGAGTTCAATCCCCAGTAACCACCCCCACCCCCCCACCCCAGCAAAAAAAAAAGATTAAGCCCTTTGTCTTTTATGTACTAAGAATATTCTTGGGCTGGGGATGTGGTTCAAGTGGTAGCGTGCTCGCCTAGCTTGCATGGGGCACTGGGTTCGATCCTCAGCACCACGTAAAAAAAAAAAAAATGAAGTAAAGATATTGTGTCCACCTAAAATTTAGAAATAAATATTTTTTAAAAAGAATATTATCA